CCCCCCCCCCCAAAAAAAACAACCTTTTTATATCTACCTTTGAATAAATACCACCAATAAAACAAAAGACCAGGGAAGCACTACAGCGAAGCAGTTTAAGCCTTATCAGCCAACAATAAAACCGATATACCCGCAAAATAAATGAAAATCCAAATAATAACCCCCAAACAAAGGCTTGATTTTTTTAATTTTTTAGCAAAAATATATTTAAAAAAAATGTTTCCTAAGGACAGTACAGATGATAAAAGATACTGCTGACCTCAAATCAAGCACAACATAAGATTCAAGATTAAGATGTCCCAGTACGCTGATACCATGGCTGCTCTGTGTCTCCTGTCTTTTATTGGCCCTTCTAAGCTTACTGGCCATAGTTCAAAGACCACGCAGTGAAAGATAAAAAATATTCTGCACAAAAATGTGCTTGGACTGCCAGTTTTGAACCCACATGCTTTAAAAAAAACATGGTAGCACCTAGATCTCATCCCTAATCCTGCTAGTAACACAGTGTTAGTAACCTAGAACAAGACTGCAGAACACATTCTCCTCTTCACATAACATAGAGGAGGTGTTCTGTGGTTGACATAAAAAGCTGAGAACAATTTAATTGATATAAAGTCAGCACAGGAAATTATCAGCTAGCGGCAGCCGGTACATTTAGGAGAACTGTGGACCCCGGTTCATAAGTACGGATTGTCCGTAAGTCGGATGTCCGTAACATGGGGACTGCCTGTATATATATATATACATATATATACTGTATATATATTCAAACCTAGGTATAGTTTCCTACTTAGGTAACTTAGGTAGTGCTGTGTCTGTTGAACAAAACAGTCAAATTGATATTTCCTTCTGAGGAAAGAAAAAAAAATTGCAGGGGGGAGAGAATAACAAGATTCAGGGATGCAGAAACCAGACCTTGGGTTCTGCATGGCAATAGTGTGGACACTTTTCTCCGGAAAGTAGCGTAATGCACACACTATTTAAGTGGAGCGGGAGTCAGCTTACAAGACTCATATAGAGATTCCCAAAAGTAGGAAAAGGGTTATATCCAGTTTGAAAAATCTTAGAGCATGCAAAACACTCACCCTAGTGGATAACATCAGAACTGAGTTCCCAAAAGCATAACTGTAAAGGACAGGAGTTTTTAAAAGGGCGGCCAACGTTAAACATGTGAGATGCCATCTCCTGCTAGAGTGCTGTATAGTTTGCCTTTAGGCTTTATTCACATCTATGTATTATGGTAACACACACAAAAACTTACATTTTACAGCAACGCACTGCAACGCATGATTTGTGTAAATGGCACCCCAATACACCTTGCTAATGCAGCTCAATTACCATGTGTTTCAGCGCACTACAATTCACAGATGACAATCATCTGTGAGTTGTTGTGTGGTGTGTTGAAAAAAACCATGTGTGTTGAAAACATAAACATGTGTGAATGCGGCCTTGATGCCCTAGCATTCACTTAAATACATCAGGCCTTTGCCAACAAGATTGCCAGGTTTTTGTACATTTCACATTGAAAGTAAAACTTTGTGCATTCCAATTTGTATCCTAACCAAACCATTCATGGTTCACTGCATATCTCAGCCAAAAATTGTTATTTCACTTTAATTCTTTGACACTCAACTTTACATGTTTTAACTGCGCAGGTTGAAACAAAGACAGCCCATTACAAAAATATGACAGAAAATAATCTTTAAAGTAGAAGACACAAGGTGACCATTTTCAAAGCTGGGTTACTTTCAGGCTCTGCTCCCCAAGTGTCCTTTGGTGTAATGAGGGATATCATTTTTCCTTGTCCTCAGAAAGGTGTCTAGCTTTTTTTTTCCCCGAGCAGAGAGTCGAGCATGATGGGCCACCAGCAGCTGTGCTGGAGTCACCCCAGAAAGTTCGGCCAGGCATTCCGACCCTGCTGTGTGTGCGCAAACAGACATGGACTTATCCGCAAATACGGACTGAACATGTGCTACCCGTGCTTCAGGCAATATACAAAGGACATTGGCTTTACAAAACTGGCCTAAATGGATACTTATTTGGACAAGTCCTGTGGCCATAAATCCATACTTTAGACAATATGTGCAGTTGGTACCTAAAACTTTACGGAACATACACATGTGACCAAAATTGGTTTACAACCAACAGTTGGCACCGAATTCTTTTGAAGAACATACATGTGCTTTCACAGGACATCTGCAGCTACTGCATCTGCAAAGTGCTAGACAAGAATAATATATATATATATAGTGAGGGAAATAATTATTTGATCCCCTGCAGATTTTTTACCTTTGCGCACTTAAAAAGAAATGAAAGGTCTATAATTTCTATCATAGATGGATTTTAAATGATAGAGACAGAATATCAACCACAAATCCAGAAAAAACACATAATACAAATGTTATAAATTGAGTTGCAGTTCAGTGAGTAAAATAAGTATTTGATCCCCTACCAACCAACAATAATTCTGGCTCCCACAGACTGGCTATGTGGTACACAGATGAGTCCTGTCAATTTAAGAAGGTGCTCCTAACGACAACTCGTTATGTATATAAAAGACACCTGTCCACAGAATCTCTTTCTTCCATTCAAACCTCACTACCATGGGCAAGACCAAAGAGCTGTCAAAGGACGTTAGGGACAAGATTGTAGACCTGCACAAGGCTGGAATGGTCTACAAGACCATCAGCAAGAAGCTTGGTGAGAAGGAAACAACTGTTGGAACGATTATTCGCAAATGGAAGGAATACAGAATAACCATCAACGCCCTCGGTCTGGAGCTCCATGCAAGATTTCGCCTCATGGGGTAAGAATGATCATGAGAAAAGTGAGGGATCAGCCCAGAACTACATGGGAGGAGCTTGTGAATGATCTTAAGGCAGTTGGGACCACAGTCACCAAACAAACCATTGGTAACACAATACACTGCCATGGATTGAGATCCTGCAGCGCCCGCAAGGTCCCCCTCTTTAAGAAGGCACATGTACAGGCCCATCTGAAGCTTGCCAATGAACATCTAAATGATTCAGAGAAGGATTGGGAGAAAGTGCTGTGGTCAGATGAGACCAAAATTGAGCTCTTTGGCATTAACTCGACTTGCCGTGTTTGGAGGAAGAAAAATGCTGAGAAAAACAGTAATGGGAGAGTGAACAGAGCTTAGAGGCAGTATTAGCAACTATTTCAATGGTGATCGGCACAATCAGCGTGTCTGCTTAGTGCTTGGTAAAATGTAACACATAGTTATAAATTGTAGCTAGTTGCAGCTACGGTATCTGAGCAACCAATTACAAAGTATCTGCTTTTTTTAGAGTTGCTAATAAAAACATGTGAAACATTAAAAAAGTTTTTTTTTTTTCTCCAATAAATTTTGTTAGTAACCCAGTATTACCACTAAAGCAAGCCTTAAAAACTTTTTCCTCTAGCCTTTTTTTTTGTTTTATACTATTCATATTACTTTTTTTTTGTTTTTTAATCAATTTCATTCAATAGTTTTTTGTAATTAAAAAAAACACGTAATCCAAATTAAAGAAACTACATAATTTCAATTGTAAAAAACTTAAAAATAAGTAAAGCAAATCTCAGAATGAAATCAGAGCTTTATATCTATAGTGATGCTTGTTTTAACATTATTACTAAGTAAAATAATTAATAGGAGACAATATCAACAAAAGAAAGGCAAAATAAAGCCTTTTATTGCCCCCACACACACACACACCACACACACATATGTACAGTGAGGAAAATAATTATTTGCTCCCCTGCAGATTTTGAACGTTTGCCCACTTAAAAAGAAATGAAAGGCCTATAATCTTTATCATAGGTGTATTTTAAATGATAGAGACAGAATATCAACCACAAATCCAGGAAAAATACATGGTACAAATTTTATAAATTGAGCTGCAATTCAGTGAGTAAAATAAGTATTTGATCCCCTACCAAACCAACAATAATTCTGGCTCCCACAGACTGGCTTGCAGGTACACAGATTAGTCCTGTCACTTTAAGAAGGTTCTCCTAACGACAATTATGTATATAAAAGACACCTGTCCACAGAATCTCTTTCTTCCATTCAAACCTCACCACCATGGGCAAGACCAAAGAGCTATCAAACGACGTTAGGGACAAGATTGTAGACCTGCACAAGGCTGGAATGGGCTACAAGACTATCAGCAAGAAGCTTGGTGAGAAGGAAACAACTGTTGGAGCGATTATTCGCAAATGGAAGGAATACAAAACAACCATCAATCGCCCTCGGTATGGAGCTCCAGGCAAGATTTTGCTTCATGGGGTAAGGATGATCATGAGAAAAGTGAGGGATCAGCCCAGAACTACACGGGAGGAGCCTTTGAATGATCTCAAGGCAGTAATACAATACACCGCCATGGATTGAAATCCTGCAGCGCATGCAAGCTCCCCCTCTTCAAGAAGGCACATGTACAGGCCCGTCTGAAGCTTGCCAATGAACATCTAAATGATTGGGAGAAACGGATCGTGGTAAAAATGCGTTGCACCAAACGCGCGACAAATGCGCATATTCGATACGCCTAGGTGTGAACCCAGCCTAAGGATTTAGAGAAGATCTGTAAAGATGAGTGGACCAAAATCCCTCCTGAGATGTGTGCAAACCTGGTAACCCCCTACAAGAAATCCCTTACCTCTGCGCTTGCCAACAAGGGTTTCTCCACCAAGTACTAAGTCATATTTGGCTTGGGGATCAAATACTTATTTTACTCACTGAGCTGCAACTCATTTTATAATATTTGTATCATGTGTTTTTACTGCGTTGTTGGTGTGTGTGTGTGTGTGTGTGTGTGTATATATATATATTGTGTGCTGGGAGTGGGACACAGGACAGAGACCAATGTGTGTGCGGGGGGTGGGATACAGGGGAGAGATTAATGTGTGTGCTGGGAGTGGGAAACAGACAGAGACCAATGCGTGTGCGGGGGGGTGGGATACAGGGTAGGGACCAATGCATGGGCAATATGTATACTGGGTAGTGAGATACAACGGAGATACCAATTGTACAGGATGCCAGGGCTGGGTCCTGGAAGGACGCTATATTTCCCCTCTGTTTGGACTGTGGTCCCTTTAAGGGATGAGACGGGTTTAACTCACCTGCTGGAGGAAGTGTTAGTTTAAAAGACAGGAAGTGGTAGCTAGCAGGTGAGGAGTAGTGTGGAGGAGATTGGGGATTTGTGTACTGCTGTGAGCTTAAATATCAGTATCCTTGCTGGAAATCTGTAGACTGGGAAAGTTACCCTGGAAGTCTGGGACTGTTTAACTGCGATTACAGTGCTGAAATCTTCATGTCAGTGAGACTGGTATTTTGTGTTGTACTGAAGAGTTGCTGTCTGAGTTTGCCAGCTGGTCAGTGAAGAGATGAACTGTTGTGTTATTTTGCTGCTGCAAAGCTATTTAAGTTTATAAACTTTACTTTATTTGCAAAGCCTGTGGCCTGCGATCCTGCTGGATTCCCCTAACTTATAATAATAATGATATAACATATAACATTAAATCTAAAAAAACAAAACACATTTAAATGCTTATGCAGGTATATTTAAGTTGTTTGTAGAGATGGTTTAAGTTGGATGCCTCAACCTTTGACCTTATCTGTGGTATTGTTCCTTAATAGTACATTTGAAATGTCACTGGATATCCTATCATATGTTACTACTTATGGAACCAGATCCTAAATCCATCTGTTCTGTACAACTAATTTTAATTTGCAAAACAGGCCTATACAGACTCCCTTAGAAACACACAAACACATACACACTTCAGACTTTAAGGTGTTCTCCGAACAAGTAATTTGTATTTAAATTAAGGTATTTACCTTGTTCTACATGTCATGGGCTAAACATGAATGATTGTCTAATATATTTTGGCACAGAAAGAAAACTATAGAATGCAATTATAAACAATCTAAACAGAAGTTCTTTTAATTTGTTGAAGAGAAGCAGCGGAAGACCTATTTTAATTTTCTTAGAACAGATGTATTTATTTAATGCATTGTTTATCAGTTTTAATCCTGTGTGGTTTCAGTCGGTCACTGTCAGAAGCTAATAGACGTGCAGCCTAACTCCATACACTTTTACAAATCATTAAAGCAACCCTAACAGGCTGATGAATGCTGGTAACAAAGACATGTTTCTACTACAGTTATTGATTCTTGATTTGCAGTAGCAAAGATCGCTAGCCTCTGTGCCATCGCTAACAATAGTTTAGGCTGTCAGTTAGCTCTTTGCTGGGTAGTCTCCTATGATGTTAAAACTCCTTACTGCTGACATGAGGGAGGGGGATATAAATTATACAGTACAACTAGGGATGCACCAAAACTAGTATTGGTGCCGATACCCAGTATTTGGACAAGTACTCGTACTCGCCCAAATGCTCCGATACTTACCCCCGATACTGGAACTTCTGGTCAGAGGGGGATTTCCCCTGACTGGCAGTGCTGCGAGGGAACATGGAGCCGGCTTCCCGACCAATCAGCATTGAGCTGGCCAAACGGCATGAGCCAATCAGGAAGCTGGGCAGAAGGTAGCGATGCTGATTGGCCAGGTAGCCGGCTTTCCGGTCAATCACATCGAGCCAGCCAAACAGCATTGAGTCGGCCAAACAGCATCGAGCCAGCTTCCCGGGCCATCAAGAAGCCAGGCAGCGGGTAATGACACACCACCTGGCTTCCTCGTTTCCCTAGAACCTGGTTACATGCTATAGTACTTATAAGTATCGGTACTCATACTTCATACCGGAAAACCGGTATCGCTGCATCCCTAAGTACAGCTATGGCCTCCAATTAAAAAAATTATGTGCTGCAACACTGAATTATCAATGCATCTGCACATTTTGTCTTAGTCCTTCTGCAAAGTCTCAGAAATAATTGTTGAGCATGTCAGGAGAGTACACCTAATGCAACTTCTTGTAATAGGGTGGCAACAATGCCACACTGCTCCTGAATTCAGAGCAGAGTTGTCATGCTCATGAAGGCTGTTCCTGCTTGCACTACAATGGTATGAAAACATTTTGTAGGGGGCGAGGTTTTCAGCATTGTTACCTGGCCACTCCTAGTCCTGCCTACTGCTTTTTGGATTGACAGCACTGCCTCTGTTGCTGAAACACCCCCACTATGAGCTGTAGTGTCTGGGAGGGGAGCATGTGAGGAATGAAGGAGGATTTGGCTCAGTCAAGGAAGGTAAAGGAAGTTTTTCTCATCACATATAGTAACTGGTATAAGGACTTGTTTACAGTGTCATACATAAACCTTTAGATGTAGTTTTAAAGCATATATAAAATCATTTTTTTTGTTTTTATTTCGGAAAGTTTAGGAAATAATTAAAACCCTTGTAAGTCTATGTTGCCATCATTTAACTTTCTGTATACCACAACAGGAGGTGAGGGAGATTCCCTCTTAGACAGCGGTCACAGCAATAAGTATCCCCCTTAAAAGATTCATCCTCTATTCCTATTATGGCGACAACTTACAATTATGGATTTTCCATTCTTTAAGTCCGATTGACAGTGGCGTCTACCCTGCACTGATTCCAAACACATCGAGTACAGAAAATAGGCAGCAGGCAGCTGTGAACCCACAGGTGCTCACAGTAGAGCGCAAAAAGTGGAAAGATTAGCGAACAGATGTTCACCAATATCTCTGCCACTTTGTCATTCTGAAAATCCGGCCTTCTTGGTCTTAACCCCAAACGTTGCTTGGGCTCAGGACTAAGGCTAAGATGGACCTCCGGCAGACTACTTGCTGCTGTTCGGTCTATTCTTATAGATGCCGAACAGCAGTGAGTAAATAGCCGAATGCCGCTGAGCGGCATTCGGCTCGGCTGTTCTGCTCAGTCTCTCTGTGGGACCGAGCAGAACACAAAAATAGTTTAAAAAGTAGAAAACAAATAGAAAACGATTGTGCGGAGCTAGCAGTGACAGCTAGCTCCGCCCAACTGTTTTCTATTGGCCGGCGGTTCTGCTGCCGTCAAAAAAAAGAAAAAAAAATTGCCATAGGAATGCATTGCTAGATTCCTATTGGCTATTGCAATTTGCAATAACCAATAGCAAACTAGCTATTGCATCCGCCCGATGCTGCTGTCAATCACTAGTGGGGACCTGATGGAGAACTGCAGGTCCCCTCTGCTGATTGACAGCAGCAGGGGGCGGGTGCAATAGCTAGTTTGCTATTGGCTATTGCAAATTGAAATAGCCAATAGGAATCTAGCAATGCATTCCTATGGTGAATTATTATTTTTTATTCTGACGGCAGCCAACGGCTTCATGTCAGAATTAAAAAAAAAAAAAGAAAGAAAAATCAGTGTTTTGGCTCCGCCCAGCAGTCAGTAGCAGGCTGTTGGCCAGCTTCGGCTTTCACCTCGGCTCAGTCGAGCCGAAGCATATGCCTTCGGCTCAACTGAGCCGCTCGGCCGACTTCGGGAGCTGTACGGGCTATTGTGAATAGCCCATACAGAAGCCCTTCGCTTCTACCGAACCAAGGAGTCCTGGGGCCGAAGCTAGCCGAAGGATCAGCCGAAGTGTAAACATTGTTGTGAATTATTTTACGTTGTTAAAGCCATTAATTCTTATACAGAGGCAGGATTTCAAAGTGTACAGCAAATCTTGGACAGTCTATAAACAATGCAGCCTAATTAAAGAAGAACTACAGGCAGAAAAAATCTTAACCCTTACAGAGGGGCTACCCCTGCACTGCAAGGATTAAGTGCTCACTTTTGTCTACGGATGAAAATAACAATGATATACTCACCTGAACCTTGGAGGAGGCTGACTGCTAGATTGGTCCCTGCAGCCTCTATCCCCCTCTGCTCTGCTGGTTTACGTTCCTGTGAGTCATCACGTCCAATACACTCCATTGGATGTGAGGACGTTGAGAGACATTCAGTCGCTGAAGCTTAAGACTTCTCCCGACAGAGGAAAAACAGTATAGAGGAGGTGTCTAAAACTAGTGATCACTGACAGTGATCACATCAATGGGAGCAGGTCCTCCCAGCTCCCGGACATTAGTACGAGATGACGAGCTGCCAGCTTGGTCTGGGTTCTGGGAGTTGTTAGGGAGCTGAACTGGACTGACGTATCCTTAGTTTCTTAGCTTATTCAATACCAATAACATATTCTGCAGCACAGGGAGCACTCATAAAGACAGATCCTCAACCAGTTTGTTCACAAACAGCGGCTAGGAATTTAGGCGCATGAACTGGTTAAATATGGCTAGCGTTATTCGTTTTGTCAAATTGCAAACACACTAGGTTCAGGTCAAACTAACCTTCTAACTGAACCCAAAAGTTCATCCCTACTCCTGAATCTGCTTATAACGTGCTGTTGCACTGTTACTTAGTGTGACGGACTGCACCATCACTGTGCTAGTTGGAGGGTGCTGAAGACTGGCCTCTTACCCACCGATTATGGCCCAGCAAGAGAACAAGAGATTTTGGGGCTAAATGTACATTTTATATGCAGACAGTGACTGTTGCCCTCTGGGAAATATATGTTTTAAAATGGTGGAGGACAAGGATTTGGCCACATGGTTTGTTCAGTCAAAATGGAGACTTAATTAAGTTAAGTCAGTTGTATATAAGTTGCATAGCTCCCCCCTCAGCTGTTATCTGATGCTCACCCTATTGTACTGTTTGATGGTGTATGTAAATGTCTGATTCACTGTGTAAGCTGTTATCTGTGTTTGTCATGAGGGGGAGGGGAGGGGAGGGGTTGTATCCCTCCCAGTGCCTCTAAAGTGAATCTCCTGTGTTTAATAAAGGAGTTGCTCTTTCTATGTTGAACCTTCAACATGAGTTTTGCCTCGTGATTGGGGGTTAGGGGCTGGTCACTGCGAATCTGTTGGCTGAGAGAGGGGTTTGGCAGGCAGGAGACGCTCTTTGGCGGAGGTACCCAGTCGGGGTACACGGGGTCCGTCATACTTAGTTCCTACGAGAATTGCTCATGCAATTCTCTCCAACCTCCTGTACTTGCTTTAAAGATTACCCTGTTGATGGCACCACACTACACATTTGGTGGTCTTGTTCACAAAAACCCCCCACTTCTGCTGCAGTTTCATCCATGGTTTTTTTAACATGGCTTTGTACAAATACCTTTTAGATGGTACACTTTCATCTGCTTGCTGATACCCTGATGCTCTCTCACACAAAAAATGCCATCTCATATTTGTATTGCTGCCAAACAAGCAATAGCTTGAGGAAGGAAGCCTTACCATTTTAAAAAGTTAAAGCTAGATTGAATGGCAACATTTTTAGTAAAAGGCTAACTGGCATCCTCAGAGACACCTACACAAACTTTCTATTCATCTGGCAACCTTGGATAACATGCTCATCCACAACTGGAACTTCCGATCGCCTATATGTGAAACACCCGGTAACGGGTGTGTGCATTTAGCGGGTCTTTTCTGCCCGTGCGTGCCCGCTAGGGGGCGCGCGTGAGCAGAAAAAAATTGCCGTCTGGAGACGGCAACCCGCAGATGCTGCAGTGCCGTCCGTCCGTTTTTTTACTACGGGCGGACGGCAAGAGGTTAACCAGCTTATAATTCACAATCCATTTTCTCGTGTGAATGAGGCCTAAATCTGCACATGATTTTGACTTAACTCGTAAAAGATGCAAACCTATTTGTTAAATTAAAGTTTTATCGAATACTGTTCTTACTCCTGTGTGAGGAAATGGAAACAATTAGGGGGTTATTCACAAAAGGGTAAAGAGTTTGGAGAAGGCAGGAGAAGTAAATTTGCCAATTCAGCTCTCTTTCCAGTTCAGCTGTATTGTTCACTAGATTGTTCACTTCTGCCTTCTCCTAACTCTTCACCCTTTTGTGAATAACCCCATTAATGTTCATTTCTTGTAATATACCTCTTTTGAAAACAATCAAAATGCTGAAACAGTAAAGCACTGAGTTTCCCTTTTTTTAAACAATTAAGGCACTTTTCTTTAGCAGCAAAACCCTTATTTTCAGCATTCCAAAACTGGGCACCACAATGAAATAAAACATTCATTCGGGCTGTCTACTTGCATTTCATCAAAAAGTGCAAAGCTGCTTGTATGCTTCCACTCCACTTCAATCAACTACATGACTGTAATACAAACTTATCAGCTGATGGTAAATCATAAAAGTACATGAGTGATACTTACAATGGTCCGTGAGATCCAGCACTGCAAAGGCACTTTCCAGTCTCAAAATGACACTCTCCATTAAAGCAGTCAGTGCAAACAAAGGCACAGTTTTCGCCATATGTGCCATTGCGACATTTTGTTTCACACCTAAAAAAAGGCACATGCATGTTACCGACACAACTTTTTCAGAATGTGAATTACCACACTTGGATCATGGTGTCCATAATACATTAGCTGGACTTGTTAGGTTGCTAACTCATTATCATATTTAGTTTGTTCTTCAATGGTTAGTACTACTTTGTTTATTTCTCCTAAATAAATAAATACATACATACATACATGAACAGAAAACATATGGAAGCTGTAGGGGAACCCCAGCTACTGAATCTCAGTGCTTGGGACCCGGAGTTACAGAAGTAGCTGTTTTGTACTCAAACAGAGACTTTTTATTCGTGCTACGCACTCTAAAATTCTGCACAAAATATAATGGAGAGAAAGTGATTGTCATGTATAAAGATAGTTGGAGAATGTCAGTGTACTGCACCAGAGTGATTGGTCCCTTAAAGTGAACTTGTAACAGACCTAGGCAATTAAAACCCAGTATACCATTAAAAATGCATTAGAATAGGTTACCTTCAATTTAAAATGCATGATTAGAACAATAAGAGATACTGTACATCAGGGGTGGCAAACTCAAATTCATCGGGGGCCACATCAGCAGTATGGTTACCCTCAAAGGGCCGGTTGTATAGGACTATGCATCTACTCTTTATTATCATAAATAGTTGCCTCTGCATTCAGTTGCTACTGGCTTTAATAATAATTTAAGTAATAACTAGCCTTGAAAACATCCACAAGAAACTTTATTGGAGACTGCTCAGACTGCAGCAGAAATCCCTAATCTGGCGTTTTCAAGTGACAGCTGTCACCTAGTCAAGTTAATGATCAGGTGACAGCAGCTCCTGCTGATTCGGCCCGTGGGCCTTGTGTTTGCCACCCCTGCTGTACATGAAGATAAATGGCAAAACAAATCTTAAAGTAGTGCTGACATTTTCCACCTCTTGAGTTTCCATAATTTAGGCTGCTTGTTATATTAAAGAATAACTGTACTTAATAGATATTGACCCTAACCACCTTGCCCTGCCTACGCAAGTAATAATCCTTACTACAGTGCTCAGATCGGCAACTGACCTACCCCAAATGCTGTGCTCTATGCCTAACGGCACTCTCGTCTTCCACTGAGTCATTGGGCTGCGCATGTTCAGCCTTTTTCACTATGAGAAGTAATATCCTTGCAGACTTGCAAGTAGACAATTGAGATCTGTGTATAACAGCAGATGCCTATAGTCTCTGGTAGGGATGCACCGAAATAAAGAATTTTGACCGAAAATGAAATTTAAAAAAAAAATGGTTAGGCTGAAACAAAAAAATGCATTTTTTCCAACCTTTTAAGAATGTTTTAAATTATTTTTTCATTATTTGTATATATTTTTCATTTTACGGTCAGGGGCTTTGTGGAAATATCAGGGGTCTAAACAGACCCCTGATATTTCCTTTTTAAAATAGAAGAGATTGAGGACACAGAGTCCTAAATTTATTTTTCTGCTACCTCTGTTATGAATGAACAGGAATCCTCTATACTGAGTGCCCCTGTCCATTCATAAACTGAGGAGAGGAGTTTCTGTTAATATGTCCACAATCATGAATGAACAGGAAGCGATGTAGAGCACTACCTGTTCATTCATTACTGGAGACACAGTAAGAATACTATGTCCTCAGTTATTTACAAACACCCAGCGATCAATACTGATCGGTGAGTGTTTGTCCTCTGCTCTCCATCCTGGCTCACCTGTCACAGGAAGCCAAGTGGGGCAGTGCGGGAGTAGAGCTCGGCATCTTGTGACAGCTGATAGTTGTCTCCTCCCCACACTCCCCCCGCTTGGCCTCCTAACAGTGGCTCTCCTCCCTGCTGGGTACCGGTCTGTGTCCCCTCCGACCCCCGCTGCTTCTGTTGACACAGGCGGGTGAGAGCAGCTTGGAATGCACCTTATGTTTGGCGTACGAAATTTTGGTGTATCCCTAGTCTTTGAATATAAAAATCAATTTGACCACTGGTTTTTACTGAAGGTGACCTTTGCTCTTTTTAATTAATTGTCCAGATTTGTGACAGGTTAAAAATCTAAAGTCCAAATGCTTTTTTGGTAAGGTTTTGGATATAGTAGACAAGAGGTAAACTCTCCAAAGTGAGGCCAATCCTTTTATAGCTGACACTGGAACAAGTGTTCCAATTGGAAGATTTCCCCTCTATATCTTTTATGGTGACAATTCAAAATTTTCCCTTACTGTCAGTTCTGGTGACAATGCTCCCTAGTAAAAATAGAGAGGGTGAATTTTACCATAGGGTGGCACAGACAGCAATAGAAATCTAACAGGGTCTCTATCCCCGCACCACTCTATCCAAAACTATAAACATGTATTGGCTATTGATACACTTTAAATAATGCATGTAATAAAACTGTCACTTTAGGCCTGGTTCACACCTAGGCGTTTTTTGAGCAGTAGAAAAAGCGCTTCAAAATGCCCAACACAAGAAATCCCCTGATTTTCAATGGCCCCTGTTCACACCTAAGCAGAAAAACACCAGCAGCGAAATGCAGAAAAAAAGTACATAAGCTTCTTTTGGCAGTTTGCAGCTTGTTTCTTCCCCATACACTTCAATGGAAACATCAGGAAATGCGTAACAGAAGCACGTTGCACATTTTCATGCATGTTTTTATGCATTTGTACATGAGTTCGTTCATTGTTTCTTAAGCTGCCAGTCAAAACGTGCTTTTTCATGTGCGTGCGTTTTCCTGCTCGCAAACATGTGCAAAAAAAAAAAGCTAGCTGAACCCACGCGTACAAACACGCAAAAATGATGAGGCCTTGATGGGAACGGAAATAAATGTTCAGTTTTGACACTTCTACACTGAAACAATGTGTTAGGTTAGAATCCCATACTGAAGTAAATCTACTAGTTTTCAAGGTGTCCTGAAGTTACTGTGACAGGACAAACATGCAGTAGCATATTAAAGATAGATTAGTCTGCCTTGTAAAATCTTCAGTGCATTTTCAGAACACTGTGATTTGAATGACTCCATTAGCTTTAATTATTTAATTTCTCATTGCACTTTTCATGCATTATTTGGAGCATAAAAAGGTGTATCATAACCAGACAAGTGTGAATGATTCCCTAAAACTGAATTCCAGGCAGATATTTAAAAACACCATTTAAAGAAAAACTCCAGGCAAATCAAATCGTAACTCTTTCAATGGGGCTACCACTGCAAGGGTTAAAGGAGAACTATGAGGCGAGTGATTTTCACTCAGCCTCATAGTTCGAGCCGACGTGTGACAATGAAACTGTCACAAGTCAGCTCAATAGATCGGGAAGTGAGCGAACACATACCGTTGCTCACTCACTTCTCGATCATCTCCCTACAGAGAGCTGTGACTGTCACTCACGGCTCCCTGCAGGGATTCCCCCCTCCCCGCTCCGATCCTCCAGCGCTGACTGGCGGAATGGACGGGGAGGGGGCAGGTACTGCTGGCTCTGCCTCTAGATAGGCAGAGCCCGCTGTCACTGACGCAGCTGGGTGGATCTGGACAGTAATGTCGGGATCCGGCCCGGCTGCGGCGGTCTCAGTATACCGCGAGCTGTAGCTCGTGATATACTGAGCTTTGGGTCACAGGAGGACGCTAGTATATGTAATCCCGTGACCCTGAGGAGAACTATGGAAGAAAACACTTACCCCATAGTTCTCCTTTAAGTGCTTACTTTGTCTAGGGAGCTAAAATAACACCACGATCCCGGCAGGCTCCTAGACCGGTCCCTTCAGCCTCAGTCCAGCTCCGCTCCGGCGAACAAAGGTCCTGTGAGTCACCATGTCCAATACAGTGTATTGGACATGAGGACGCCGAGTAACATTCCATCACTGGAGCGGAGGAGGACATAGGCTGTAGGAAGCGATGCAGAAGACAGCCGGGAATGTGGTTCAGTAAGTATAACTGTTTTTTTAGGTCCCTAGGCAAAACATGTGCTTAGCCCATGCAGTGTGGAGGTCTTTAATGCAGTTGTATATTATTTTAGATAGAATTAAATGTATTTTCCATACAGCTAGCATAGTACAGTACCTGTCTTAATAACAGGCTCTGTCATCCCCTGCACAGCAGCACTGGAAAAGAGAGTTGTAGCTCTAGGAGCCAATAAGGCTCAGCTATATGAAACATGTATTAAAAGGAACATGCTGACAGGAAGAGAGAGCAGATAGAGCAGCCTTCATAATTTGTCAGCAACTTGCTGCTCCTTTTTTGTCTAATTGGCAAGCTGGGGGAAAGGTAATTCTATTGTATTAAAGAGAAACTCCAGGAAAAAAACTAAGCATTTAAAAACTGCGGGCTTACGTGCAAGGAGGTGTATGACACCTCCTGTGTCTCTCTTGTTTACAAGTTGTTGGTTCACTAAGCACCGATATTATAGCTTTCACTGTACACCATTACTCCAACAGGAGGTATATGGCTCTCTTACACAGCAGCCACACTTCCCCCTCCTCTGTCCATTCACAGAATGCTTTGTATTTTGGAATTAGAAATCCTTTGAAAGGTAAGTGTTTTCAGCTGAAATTAATAAACATATATAAAATCTCTGCATAACCCTGCATATTCTTACCTATCACCTATCCAGCCAGCATTGCAGTGTGAGCACTTCCCATTAATGTGATTACAGGTGTGTCCATCCTTGCACAGTGGACACGGAAGAAAACAGTCTTCTCCATAGAAACCATGGGCACACGCTTGATCACACCTTGTTCCATTCCAGCCGGGTTCACATGCAATACATCGACCATCAGCAATGGTACATGGCTGCAGTCCCTTACATTGACCACATCTAGGAAGAAAAATACTTTATCAGCTTTAGCACATTAGGTTAACCAATGTCATAGTTTAGAATCAGTCTGAAAATATAGACAAAACTTTTATTTTTCAGATTTCTTAAAACACGGCAATGTCTAGGGACACCTCATTGTGCTAAGATGGAGAAAGAGAGCCCTCTTTGACAGAAATAGCAGGACCCTCATCCCACTAATGTTTAGGTTTAATGGCAGACTGTAGTCTGAAATCAACAGACATTATACTCTCAAGGAAGAAGGAAAAGTAATACAAACTTTTGCCAGCAGATGGGACTGAAGGTGAATTCAGGACTCAAGGGTCTATGACTAGAAAAATACTAGACTGTGGGAGAATAAGTTCCTCTATATGAAAATTTGCTTTGTATCATAACTGGTTGAGTATACATATGCAATCTAGTCATCCAACCAACCATCTAGTTCAAAAAGTTAGGGTATTAGGTATTGCATATTCTAATCATTATAGTTTTATCTGCTTACCTCTTCCGACAGCCCTGTCCATAGAGTCCAGCAGGGCAAGGCTCACGGCAAAATTTACCCCTATATCCAGGCTCACAAGTGCAAGTTCCATCCACTTGATTGCATTTTCCTTTTAAACACTGACATACTCTCTCACATCGTGAGCCCCATAACCGTTCCCGACATAAGCAGCGTCCAGTTTGTTGATCACATGGGGAATTGTTACAAGAGCATTGGTTGTTACAGCTCCGAGCCCACCATCCTGGCTGACATATGCACCTCCCTGTGGCTTGGTCGCATTGTGAGTTGGTACTACAATAGCAGGCACTCGAACACTGAGGACCCCACCAATTTTGTTCACAGGTGCATTTTCCAGTCTCTTGGTCACATTTTCCATGCTTGCATAGACAGGCATTCTCACAGTTGGATCCCCACCGATTTGAATTGCAGGTGCACTGTCCGCCAACATCGTCACATTGTCCATGTGGATGGCAGGAACATTTTTCTTTACAGTCTGGACCCCAAAACTGTCTTGGACATTCTAGATGAAAATAAAGTAGGTTATTTGAGCAATCATGCCTGTAGTTAAAAATCACCTAACATGAAGTAGGTTTAAGATATGTGCAAACAGAAACATCAAATGCTAGTCCGACTACAAAACCTCAGATTTCAATTTCATGAGACATGAACATAATCTTCACTACGTTTTTCTTAGCCCAACTGTGGCCTTGGCATCCTTTATATACATAACTCACTATAACTGCTACATTTGTTATTTTCCATATATTTTGACAACTGCAGAAGGGGGATGAAAAAGGAAGACTCCAGCTTAGGGGGCATATAGTCAGCAAGCACACAAAGGATTGTAGTAGTGTGGATGTTGCAGACACCTCCCAGAGGTGTCTGCAACATATAACATGATTTGACATTGCTGGAAGATTGTGGAAACGACAGCCTAATGTTTCTAAATGCAGAATAATGCACTTTACAAAAGAGAAACCTCTGATAGATTACAATATTGGGGGTACAGTGTTGGTCAGAACAACAAGAGAAAAATATTTGGGGGTTCTTATTTCAGATGATTGCAAAATGAGCAGTGTGGCCAAGCAGCTGTAAAAGCAAATAGAATTCTGGGGTACATGACAAGTGAATTCTCCAGCATAGGACGAGTCCAGAGCCAGGCAACCCAAATGGTGAAACCTCTGAGAGACAAAACATATCAGTAAGACTGTAGGTCTGTGGGGAATGGTGGGTGTGGTCTAATTGCACTACTAACAGTAGGAGGCACTTAAAGAGACATAGTTAAATATAACTTAAAAGAGAACTATAGCCAAACCGTTTTTTCGGCTATAGTTCTCTTTTGGGCACAGGAGGACATTTACTAATGTTCTCCTGTGACCAAAAGTCAGCTTATATTGAATAATACATAATAGTAATAATAATGTAAGGCCCGCTAATACATTCAGGGCCTTGAGATCCAAGAATGAGCAGATACTCCCTTTATTTTTTTGAACTGTTTTGGAACCGTGAAACGGTTGGAAGAAATCCTGATAACCAAACCAAACCAACACGATCCAGGTGTTTGTAAAAGTAAAAATGGTTAAATGTTTCTCAGGAGAGAAAAGACATCCACCCTCTTAGGGCACAAAAAAAAACCGGAGGCATGTGAAGGGTTTATGAAACAGGTCACTTTTTTTTGATTGATTGCCAGTGTCCAAATCCTCCTGTAGGGAGCAGTATAACCCAATTGTCTCTGAATCTGTGTCACCCAATAAACAAGAAAGAAGTTGTGTGTTTAAAACACTGCTGAAAAAAAGGAGATTGTCAAAAATGATTTTTTCCTATAAATGGAAGTTGCTTACATGTTTGTGACACACTTCAAATTAAGCCTGTGCAGCGTGTGGCCAACAAGTAAAGATCTGCATGTGTGGTTTAGCAGGTTTGTACTATAAATGATGTACAGTGTACCATAAATCATGAAAGATGTGTGCAGCTGTGCATGTCGCCTAGCATACAGAACTGCTGCACATGTTTATTGTGCATGGCACAAAGTCTGCCGCTGGCTACTAGGATTTGGTTTGTCAACAGCTTGACTGCCAGCTGTTACCCACCCAAACTGTATTGCTGTATGAAGAATATAACACTCAAAATGTGCCAACCGAGATAAGAACATGTTACTGGAAATTAGGTCAAATAAAAAGGAATATTTTTATGCTACAGATTAGATCTACAGAACCATGATTAATAAAATGTATATAACTTTGAATACTCGTTTAAGGAGGAACTTTAGTCTTGTAAATGTTTCTTACAAATGTATATTTTTTAACTGTCTTTGTTAAAGAAAACTGAAAACAATAGCTGAAGCGTAGGCAACCTTTTAAGCGTAGTGTGGCAAAAACTTTGGTAAGAAATTGAGAGTACCAGATATTTAAAAGAAATTGTCTACTTCACATTCTCAATCAGAACAATTAATATTTACTAAGTAAACGGTGGTGCTATAAACTGGATTCTGCAATAAGAACCCCCAACAATGGTGTCAATTTGCTTTGGGGAGGTGTGTTTTGCAATCCAACTGGTGGTTTATCTGGCTGGTTATCTGTTATTATGCGTACACACTGGTCACTTACTGAGCATGCAGCGAAGAAGCCAGCTCCTCTGTTTCCTCCATACCATGCGTAGGGCCTCATGTCTACCTTCCTGTGTATGGCAAGGGGTTGATAGGACATGGTTGAGGGAGTCTGCAACTGGTTGGCCACACAGTAGCGGGCAGAGGAACACATAGAAAATAGCATGCAGGAAGCCCGGTCTGTGGTGATGGAGCGCACTGCATGTCACTCATAGCAGCCCTTTTCTTCCTGCCTTCTCCAGTGATGATGACATCAAATGCCACTAATAATGAGCTGAAATTCTGACAGCAGCTGGATGGGGGGGGGGGGGGGGGGGGGGGCGTGTGCGCGGTGCCATTGAATTCAATGCACCGCCACGCCCCGGAACGCAGGGGGAAGATCGCGGTGCGTTCCATCAGCTTTGCTCTGGAACGCCCTGCTTTCGGTGAGAAACAAGCCCTAAGGCCCGGTTCACACCTGGGCGTTTTGTAG